AATTCCACCTTTCTTTGAGGACACATTTGGGTCATATAATTCTATGATATGATATACATGTGCGTGCGTGTTATCCCTAAGCCAATGATGTGATTCCCTCGTGGAAGATTGATGTCCAAAAAATCCCCGATGGGTTTGGCATTAAATTAAGGGATTCCCCCAATTTTAAGCATCATTTACCAGACTTGCTCCGTGATGACGTCGCTGTACATTATCCAAACAAGCATGGTATAACACTTGTAAAGGGAGATATCCCAGGCATTTTTCATTCAACTAAATTCAACTAGAGAATTTCCCCAGCGTGCACCTGAAAGAGCGGCCCTGCAGTTCAAGTCCAGCTTCTCGACAAACCAATACCATGACCTGCCGGGGGCATGTGTGCCTGGATTAACTTGACCATGGGAACCATGGGAATACACCACTCTGCAGAGTAACCATCCCACTACAAAACCAACCAACATATCCAGCATCTCCAAACATTGACTTCCCGCGCTTTTCGATTTCGCTGAGCCCCCTGGCCCCCTGGGCCCTGTGGTCCCTTGTGGTCCCTGGTGGTCCCTGATGGTCCCTGTGGTCCCCAGCCAGGTCAAAGGGGTCCTTTTTCCGCGACCATCGCAGCTTGACCCACTTGCTGGTCCTGGCCACAGCAAGCTGAAGTGATGCCAGCCACGTAGCGCGGCTGAAGCGGCGCCTCTGCACTCGGGCACGCGCAATGCTGAGGATTTGATAGCTCAACCTCGGTTCGCAGTGATCTGGGGCCAAAATTGGGCCAAAATGCTGCTGCTCTGAAACCGTAGAGTATAGTCCTTAGTCCTAAGACATCCCGCAGAAATCATGGAGGCCAAGCAACCAAACCCCAAAAAATCTTCATGAGATCTTCAACCCCCTCCCCACCGCCACTTTTTTTAATGCCCGGGCTGGAAACAAATGGCTCAGCGGCTAGGATCGCCACGGGTCCGTAAGAGCAATGGCACAACTTGCTGCACCATCAGAGAGAGAGTCACTCGCAGCTGCAAAGGATCGGGCTCACCACTACCCGGGAAGTTACAAAATTTACATGCTTCAAGTTGCACAACTGTGGTCAACTGTGGTCTCTTTGACTTCAAGGGCCATTTTCGATGCTTTCCTTTGCAGACCTGCAAGAAGCTCTGCGGACGTTTTCCTCCCACGAAACTCGATTGATTGCGGATCTCGCGGTGCAGGACCCACGGCACGCGATCCAGCGTTGAAGGAACCCATCGCCAGCAGGATTTAGGTTTCCCAAAATGCCAAAATGGGGGTACCCCGAAATCATCCATCCTAGAATCAAATAGGAGCTTCCATTATGAACATTTATGAACCATCCATTTTGGGAAAAAACCTTTATGAACCTCTCCAGCATTGGCGAAACCGGTCCCTTGCCCGTATCGACCGCACAACAGACGCCACGAAGGGCCATCACGCCCCATGGCAGTATTCTTTGATTCCTCTAAAAGGGCATCCAACCCAATGGCATGGAACTTGACGCGACCAGGCCACTACAGATCAGTCAGATCCATGGCAACCCGGGAAAGTCCCCGGAAAGTCCGGCACGGCCATACAATGCATCCGGCAACTCCGGTCGGGCCGTACCAACTCCCTGCCCCCTAGAAAGTAGCGATTTTTTGGGATCGTGATTTTGGACCCACTGCCAGGCGTAGGCCAAAACCTTAGACCCTCTGGGTAGCTTGGGCTGAACATTTGGACATTGGAAAACCAAGAGTTTCAATCAAGATCTCCCAGTCTGGGAGTTTCATGATGGGTTTCCACCCAGAGGGTACCCATATCGCCCATGTCGCAACCACCGGCAGGATGGTAGGGACTCCTGTGTGGACCGTCTCATCCTCATCCGCGCCAATAAGCTCTGTGCCGTTTCGGAAACAGCAGGTGGCTTAGTCAGGGAGATGCAGTGCCCAGCGCGAACTTGATGTACTAAGGTTCACTATGGTCTATGGTAGATATAACATGATATAACTATAGCTAATGGTTTATAAACTAACCTATATCAGCATTGACACAAAAATTGTTCGTAATGACCATTGGATGCGTTGAAACTTCGTTTCTGGTGTCTCCATCCTTCTGGATGTTGAAGCAGAACCCCAACCGGGTATCCAGACACTTGGATGTACACCCATTGAGTAACTAGTTCATGGTGGTCGCAAGTCCCCATTTCCTCGGGCTATCCAATATGTATATATATATATTAAAATGTATAATATATGTGTATACACCTAATATCTATATATCACAACGATTACAACTGATTTTATAGCCGTGGTCATCAACACGTTTCTGCCTGGAGAACCCCAAGGAAATCTGCCAATCACCTGGTCAGAGGTTCTGGCTGCACCTGCCTTGAAGAAGCACCTGGAGGCATGGCGAGAGCGGCAAGAGCAAACGCCAGCTGCTTCTATACAAGGAGATGGAATTGGGTGATCACAGCTCCATTCTTGGACCCTGGATAATCCTGGATATGTTTGGAGATGGGGTTCTGATAGCCGTTGTTCTCTATTGGGATACAGACTGGAAGCTAATGACTTCCAGGGTACAGGACTCAGAAATCCAAGGTTTGTCCAATGAAGACACTTACGGATTCTTAGTCAGAGGACTGCCTTAAGTGCCTAGGGTCCCTCCGCAAAACCCATTGATCTCTTTGATTTTGACCCGCAAATATCAACTGATACCCATTGTGCCTAAGCTTTCCTGGGGGTTCCCACAGAATAAGCATAGTAGTGGATGAACGGTCCAACTGAGACTATTGACTATTGTCTGCATATGCTCAACGTTTAGTAGGCGTAAAGGGTGCTAATCCATTCCCGAATGTTTGTCAAGGCTTGCAGCACCTTACAAATCATTGCACCGCTGCAAGATGGAAAGCAGTGATGGTAAGGTAAACCCAGAAGGGTTTCAGTTGAGTTCATTGTGCGTGTGACCACCCTGTGATTTCTTCGTTGCCTGGAGGAGTACCGCAACAAAGAAGGGAGTATTGTATGGTTGGTGGCTTCAAGAAATTGCCCTGTTGATTGTGCGCGTGGATTGTGGAACCCGCAACGCTACCCAACTGGTCCTACCTTCATCTTGTCGATCATCACACAACCCGAGGTTTCTTCTTGAACCCACCAGTGCAAATCTGCATCTTTATGTCGGTTTCCCCAGGTTTTCGCAGGTGCCCGAGGGCAAACTCCTTCTCCGGCCCCGCGGCCACCCACAGAGCGATGAAAATCAGCCGCGAACATAGCACTGGAGCCGCCAGTGCAGGAACTGATGCCGAAGCACAACGACAAAGGCGAACCAAACAAACAACGTCGATCTGAGGCATATGAACCAAGATTTCTTTGTGGATGGGTCAAGAAATTGGATGCCCAAAAAATATCAAGAAAAATGAATAAGCGTCGGTGGTATCCCCAACAGCCGCAACGTTTTATTTTTACAAATCTTTCTGAAGCGTGCTGCGAAGCCAAGCGCTGGAAACACCTCAGCGTGCTCCAAAGCCTCCCAGACCTTCTCCGGAACCTTCTCCGGAACCCTGTTGAACCTGACCTGGCCGTGCACCAAAACCCCCCGGTTCTCCGGAACCTTCTCCGGAACCTTCTCCGGAACCCTGTTGAACCTAACCTGGCTCTGCACCAAAGCCTCCCACACCTGACCTGGGTCTGCATGAAAGCCTCCCACAAAGCCTCCCAGACCTTCTCCGGAACCTTCTCCGGAACCTTCTCCGGAACCTTCTCCAAAACCCTGTGGAACCTGACCTTGCTCTGCACCAAAGCCTCCCAGACCTTCTCCGGAACCTTCTCCGGAACCTTCTCCGGAACCTTCTCCGGAACCTTCTCCGGAACCCTGTTGAACCTAACCTGGCTCTGCACCAAAGCCTCACCGGAACCTTCTCCAGAACCCTGTGGAACCTGACCTGGCTCTGCACCAAAGCCTCCCAGACCTTCGCCGGAACCTTCTCCGGAACCTTCTCCGGAACCCTGTTGAACCTGAGCTGGCTCTGCACCAAAGCCTCCCCGGCCTTCTGGAACCTTCTCCGGAACCTTCTCCAGAACCCTGTTGAACCTGACCTGGTCTGGAACCCTGTTGAACCTGACCTGGCTCTGCACCAAAGCCTCCCAGACCTTCTCCGGAACCTTCGGAACTTTTCCGGAACCTCCTTGAACCTGACCCGGCGCCTGCACCAGTGCACACCGGAGGTATTCTGGGCTGAAGACCCCATTAGCTTACGCTGTTGGGGAACTACATCCAACCAGTATAGAAATGACTCAATGACCTAGATCCAATCTGACTCGTTAGTAAAATCCAAACACGGATTTCACATCCCCTCCAACTACCTAGCTCAGCTCTTAGGACTCAATTCATCTTGACCATAGTTGTTTGGATGCCTTTGGACCGAGGACTTCTCCACTCCTTCTCTGTTCAGAAGGCCAATAAAGAGAAGTCAAGGTCCCATAAATTGCTCATTGCTCCCCAAGCTCTTCTTTATTTGACGCACTTGACGTAATAGAGTTCACTTCAAAGGCTTGGGGCGCAGAAACTGCAGTCAGAGGTGGCCCTCCAACTTCAGCGGTTGAAGGCTAACCCATGGCAGAACAACATGACTATGCCTCAACAAACCGTCCGTCAAGCTCTGTGATAACTCACCAATGAAACTTGAATGGCGTCAAGGAACTATGCTCCGTTCCAGGTTTTGGTGTGAGGTCATTGAGTAGAGAGGCAGAAGGACCCGATCCCAGCAAAATTTCGCAAGATTTGAGGTAGCCCGCAGACTGACCTCCTTATCCCAAGCGGGAAGTTTGATGCAGCTTTCGATACGGTTATTCTTGAGGCATGGCCTTTCGAATTAATAGGCTTCTCCGCCGTAGCTTTAAGGTTGTCGGAATCCTGGTCGTCGGCGAAGCTTGAACAAATTAGTGTTGATCATACAAGGGAATGGACGCAGCTACTCATTGCTACACCCCACCACTGCTGAAAGAGATTCACCTGCCTCAGGCGCCTAGCGCACGTTGGGTCATCAAGTTGTTCCATGCATGCCTGGCTTGGGAAGGGTCTTTGAGGCTTGAATCTCTACATATTGTGGAATGAGAGACCAATGTGTGTTTCTGTAGATTCAATGCCTAGTTGTGGCTCAAATGGCTTAAATCCCTACGGTTGTTGATTAGAGCCCAGTTGACTCGGTTAAAATCTTAGTTTTTTTCAGTCAATTTCAGTACATACATACTTTTTGGCTTATAAGGGCCCATTTTTGATGTCAAATCCCATTTTTGGCCACCCATCACAACAGCACCAACCGGCCTGCGGTGGCACAGCAGTTCTCCGTTGGGCAGCACTACCTAACCGAGTCAAGGGTGACCAAAACAAAGTTTGCCCAAAAAAATCGATGGTCATACTGTGCATGGACCGAATCCTGCACCAGTTGGTAGATGGTTCATCGCATTGTTGGCAGGGTTTCACAGTTACGAACTGAAAATCATGTGTTTTAGAAAAGAAAGACGTGTTTTGGAGGCAAAGTTTGAAATCTTCCACCATCACCAGCAAAAACCGGGGCATCAACCAAAAAAAACAGATGGAAGTTCAGCCAACCATTTGGGTGGATATGATTTGATATCATGTAATTCATGTAATCAACAAGAAATTGGTAGTCAACAAACCGAATATAGGGATACGTAGCAAGAACACTGCTACTTGGGTCGGACGTAGCCACCAGCGTTTCAGTGATCACTTTGGATCAAGGGATGTAAATCTCATTGCCTTTGAGGGTTTTGCAATGGCTTGAAAACGTAACTAGATACAGAAAATTCCCATCCCCGTAATAGCAAAGCCCCAGAAACATGGCTTTACTAGGAAAAATCCACATCATTGGGTCTATTTAGATGGGAGTATTGTATTCACCAGATTCTTCGAAAACTCAATGCGGCCCTGAATGCTGGTGTCTGAGAAATGACTCCAACCAGCTTTATGCTTGGTGCAATCCCCTGCTGATCATATTTCTGGTGACTTCCTTTTTTGTGGGTGACCACCCGGGAATTTTTGTGTGTACACGCATGTCAATAGATGTGTGTATATCTCCATGTACACATCCACATCTGTACAAATGCATATGAACACATGTGTGAAAACATGTGTACATCTATATGTATGGTAATTGTTATGTCATAGATCTATACACACATAAACATCTGCGCAGAATACACTTATAATATATATATAAATTGACACAGTAACCGCCAAACAAATAGCAAGTCGTGATTTACCCTTATTCGAGACTCGGATTGTACTTTTTCAACTATGAAATAGGTGGTGCTATTTGAAATATCCGGTAATCAAACATGTAATGATTTGGCTGGAAAATCCACTTCATTTATACCATGGGTTTTTCCCGTTCAAACCTCCATTTAGTGCGGATGGATTTCCCGTTCAAACCGAGGTTGATCGGAGGGTTGAGGATATCCCCTAATCTGGTTCAATCTGGTTCAATCACTTCCATCTCCAAAGCTGGTGCACCTGAAGCTTCTGCTTCGGCAGCCGAAGCTGCTCCGTGAGATGTGACCAGAACTCCTGGGGCAGAAGGGTGAGATTGTTTTTGGTTAGTTCATATGTTTTCTGCCTGAAATCCTGATGTTTCAAGTTAAAATCCTAACTTGTTGTAGCTGAAATCGTCACTTTTTTCTCGCTGAAATCCTCATATTTTTCCAGCGGAAATCGTCCATTGGCGATAGTCAAATGCTGGTCCTTTTTGCTGGTCAAATTCCAACGTTCTCATCCTTTTTTCGCCCTTTTTTTTACGTGTTCCCATCCAAATGGATGGTTGAATCCTGCATCTGAATGGGAAATCCCGGAAGTTGAATGGGAAAATCATCGAACTATTGCTGCAATTGCTGGCAGATTTTCCATGTGGCCGAGGGGTAGCACCATGGGGGAAGTTTCCTGGGATTCCGATCCCCCAATCCACTCATCCACTCTATCTCAAGGCCTCAAAGCAAACCTCAGACAGCGTGAAACCTCGGCGCTGTCATGGCCACACTGTGACGGCAAGCGCGATGCCCCACAGCACATCCAATTACCAGGGACAACTCTCAGTCTAATTGCTGTTTGTGAAGACCTTGATTCACATTGAATCGTGACCAGCAAATGCTATCTGACCAGAAAATGGTATCGCCAGCATTTCTAGTTTCGCTTCCCATTCAAGAGACTCCCACAGTTCAAAAAGGTAAAAAAATCCCAGGTCATCGGATATATCGGATTCTGAGACTCCCAATGTATTGGGTAGTATCACCAAACCGCACTCATCAAACAACCCCATCATTTATCAGTGATTTATCAGTTAAAAAAATCCACTTGATATCCCCATATGTTGATGGTTAAAACATGTTAAAACCGTTAAAACCCACCAGGGTTTTCAACTTCCCCGAGCAGAAAAGAAGCCCTTGGCCCTTGCACCAAGGAGCTTAGGACTGCACGTCCTGCGAGGCTGAGGCATTGCCAATGCTGGCATTCTGAGTCGCTAGGAACCTGCAGTTCCCCCAAATGCGCCCGGTGCCCAGGTAGATTGCGTTGGGTTTTTTCACAATTTCACACAAGTCTATATATATATACGTGTATATGTATTAATTATCTACAGACTCTACATGTATCAATTATCTATAGATAAATATATACATATATATATATGTATACATATATATATATACATACATATACATATACATATACATATATGTATATATGTACATTGTCATTACAGTACATGAGTTTGTCTGAGAAAGGGGTGCCCTGTATCCATTGATGAATCACCATTTTCCGCCCAGCCACGAGCTGCATGACCATGGGCGGGTCGGCCAAATGGCAGCGACTCGGCACATAAACCTCACCGGCCTGCGGTTTGTCTCATGGCGGAGTTGCCATGAAGAATGGTGAAAATATGCCATGAAACCTGGTGAAAATATGCATCAGAAATGGTGACCATCAATGAATAACAATAGTAATAACAATAATAATAATATAATATATAATTATATAATATATAATATATAATATAATATATAATATATAAGAAGAAGAAGAAGAAGAAGAGATATAAGTGTGTCTGAAAACGGTGGATGGGCCGAGTTGTGGCCATCTGAGAAAATGATGATAAACCAATGGATCGAATGGGATAGCATATTTTCAGACTGTCCCGGTTGATATTCGGGCAACTTGGGTGAAATTCGGGGAACTTTGCTACAGCTACGACTAGAAATTTGGAACCAATTGTAGTCGACCCGCCCCACAACTTCAGTGCAAAGAGATGTTCATTCCTTATGCCCTGGAGGTCGCACGAATCATGCATATGTCCTCCCATGTCAAGCACAGACTTAAATCCTTCCAGCTATTCACAACTTTCAACTCCCAAAACCCAAACACAGCAATCTATGTATTCCACACTCTAGACTCTTGGCTGTTCAAGTTCGAGGTCTGTTGCCCGGTAGAGAAAGAAACATGAAAAATCCCTTTAACAAATCCAGCATCTTGTAGACAATGTCCTAGGAAAACCATGGTTTTTCCATACCTTTGATGTTTACCCCAAGGACAACTTCCCTCCACAGGGCCTGTAGCTCTGGTACTCGACACTGACCCCAATCATCCGACCCAAAAGCCAGCACCTGCCACTGGAACCAAGTTGGATGACAAGTGCCGGGTCCAAATCAGTTGGACCTTGAGAGAAAGTTGGATTCTCTTTTCAGGATCTTCCAAGATTTCACGCGAAATTTCCTCCAAGATGGTTGGGATTCATGAAGGGGACCTTTCTCTTGAAACCGGCAGCGGATGACATCCCCACATTCCACACCTGGGAGTCGCTACGAAGCAGCACTGTGTGCACAGCACCTGCCGAAATGTCTTCCTTAGTGCAAGACGCCCAAGACTTCGGACAGGAATTGGAATTGGATTTGGATCTGAAAATGAATGCGGATGTTTGTCCTGAGAAGAAGGAAGAGTACTTTTGCTTGTTATAGTATCATCATTATCATTCTCATCAATCTCATCAGAATCCCCTTCCGGGAATGTCGCAAACAACATTCTTCGTGGCCCCGAACCGTAAGCGTCGCACCAGTTGATCCATTGCGGCCAGAGGCTCATATCTCAAACCAACAGGAAGTGCTGGAATGTTGCACTGTCCACACCTCAGCGGGCGGTGTCCGGACGACGGATCGCACAACATCAGCCGTTGTGAAACCAATGGAGTATTCCCTCTTTATTCATCAACCAATGCGAAAAGGACATGACTAAGCCTAAGTTGTTGCGTGCTATGTCCAATCCTTGCTGGTATGTGTCCATCATCTTACTCACCATTGTATCTCATTCTATGATTATGAGAAATTGTGTAGTGTGTATAATGTGTATAATGTGTTTGTCCAGAAATGCGATAACCAAAAAAACATATTGAAAAAGATGGACAATTGTCAGGGACTAACCCGGTTATGGATCCAAATGCTCCGACCCAAATGCTTGTGCCAGGAACCGATTGTTGCCCACACATAGGGCATGCCCATCGCTTCGGAGGAGAACCGTATGTAATCCACCGGCAGAGACCTGCCGCCGGCGGCCAAAGGTACTGATGGCCGCCTGATGGCCCTGGAGTTTCATAGGATGTCATAGGATGTGTAGAAAAGTGATTCCCTCCTAATTTGGAGGTGACAAAAAAATGTCCATCTGTTGAGGGACCGCTATCATTGGATAAATAGACATCATGAATCATCATGATCACTATCGGTATGCACTCCATATCTATACATACACCATGTTATTGATATTCAGGACCAAGCCTGCTTCTGTCTGGTGTGTTTGCTGACAATGCTGGGAATAGGAATTAATTCGCCTGACAACAAAATACCTCGTTCAAACGTCAGATCATCGTCATCGTCGTCGTCATCATATCATCATCATCATCATCATCATCATCATCCTCGTCATCATCATCATAATAATAATCATCGTCCTCCTCATCATCATCATCATCATCCTGGTTGATAATTCATGGTAAGTGTATGTCATGTCTGACAGTTTCTACCATTTTGATTTTTTTCGAAGCAGCCTCCCTTCCCAATCCACCAATCCTGGGTATATTCTACGCCCTCCTCCAAGTAGGGTATGCTGCACCTTCAAGCGGCGGCAAGAAAGTTCTGCAAGACACTACCCTCGAAAAGAGTAAAAGGTTAGATCTGCGTGCAAATATGAAATATATGACGTGTAATATCTTGTAGGTATAATATATCTTGGCATTTAATCAACTGTCTACAAGAGTGTGTGGGGCCGGTTTCTGCTAAGCTGTTGGGCTTCTGTTCACCTCTACTGAGCAAATGTGATCGTTGAGACGGTTGGAGCGCCCTTGCTATCCTAATATCGACAGAACAAGTTGCCTTGGGATGTTTACCCATTAACTACCAACAGTAGTACTGCGGGCAACCCAATGCCATAAACCTACCATGAGCGGGGATGGTTATGGAATGAAATCTCACACATAAAGATGGTGATGGCTTGGGGATGGAAAACGTGGCATTGGTAGATCCCACACGAATCATCCCACCCTGTGCTTCTTGGATCTTCTTGGTAGATCACATATCGCACCCAGCAGTCAGGACTTGGATGACTTGGGGTTCCCATCGACTCACAACTCATGGGAGGCTGCTTGAAGTTCCCGATAAGAACCTTCAGAGCCCAAGGGCCTAAGGACCCACGTGTCAGGAATCTCAACGCATCCACAGAGATTCCTTTTTGCAGAATGTTGGGAATCGAATTTTGAAGCCATATGATATCATATGGGCTGAAAATGATGTCAATTTTTATGGGGAAATAATGATAAACCACTGGATTTGGGGTTTTCCATGGGTTTTTCCAAACCAGATCTCCCCAAAGCTCACAGTCCCAGGTACTGGCCATATCGGTTATCGCCAGCAGCTACTACTCGACCGTCATCTCGCAACCACACGATGTGGAAGTCTCCGGCAGAGACGGAGGCGTACCTCGGATCGCTTGGGGATGCCCAAGTGGGGGGTTCCATCTATGGGGATACCCCCATTTTAGGAAACCTCCATATATACAACTGATATATATATATACATAACTATAGTTAATGGGTTTTGTAAACCAACTTAGAACTGGGGGGGGTCTCGCATTGCAGCACTTCGTGGAAAAATATAGTTATCAAGTTATCATCCTGAAACAAGGGGGTGTTTTATGGGGATATAATGGGGATACAACTTATATAACCAAGAAATGCTGAATTTGGATGGATCTGGATAGCCGATAAGAGAATGAATCACCAGATATTTTGGGGAATAATTTGTTTTTAAGTACCTTTCATCCGAAGACCAAGAAAGTGGAATCAGGATGGGGTCAAGTGGGGTATTGCTCAAAACTGGCTTCCAATAAAGCAATTTGTTCCATTTGTATATACGTCATGCTGGAGACACACCCACACTTTTTGCCATACTTGGATGTTTCCAAGCGGGATGTTTAAAAAAGTTTAGGTCATACTTGAATGTGTATCTGCCATGGTATTTGGTCAACAATCTTATTTCATGTTCATTAATGGACTGTGTGCACTGGCGACTGGAAAAGCACTATACCTGCCATAAACCATACACTATTTAGCCATCCGTGGCTTGGCTTGACCAAGACTTTGCATAATGAGTTTTTCAAAGAACTGATCACAACATACCCAACAAATTGAGAAAAAGGAAATATTGGCATGCCACAATCGAGGTGATGTTGATCTTTAATGATCTACCAGTGATAGAATGTCTATGATGCCACCAAGAAAAACAACAACATGTGGCTGAAAGTTTCAATGCTCAGAAAATGCAGCGAAAAATCTTAGACTTCGAAAGTTGACTTCTTTCTTTTTCCAAGAAGTGGAGGCTTTCTAAGTCTTGGGGGTACTCCTAAATCATCCATTTATACATGATTTTTTCATTCTAAACCATCCAGCTATTGGGGTACCCCCATGACTTCGGAAACCTCCATAGATCGCGGAAACCCAATGGCTTAATTCATATCTTAAAATACTAAATAATACTAAATATCTATAGCAATCTTGGATGATTTTGCGGTTTCCCGCCTGCGGCTGCTCTCGATGGGCGGGACAGTCAGCTCGTGCGCCTCGTTGTCCGCTCTCCTAGGGACTTTCGGAACAGTCGTCGTGGTGAAAAATCGGGGATACCCCAAAAGCTGGCGGGTTTATTTCATGGAAAATCCATGGAAAAAAATGAATGATAACTGGGGATACCCTGATTTTTCCGGAAACCATCACGTGGTGAATTTGTACCCAGAAAAATTGGGATTTCAACCTCAGAAATATATGGATTTGACCATCCAAAATATGGATCTGACTGTGAAGAATATGTGGATTTCACAGATTTCATCTGGGGGATTAACATCCACCACTACCAGCTTTTTTGGTAGGAAGAAAATATGTTTGGGTTCTGGGCTGGATCATTCAAAGGGAGAAAAAAACCTACTGTTCAACTAAGATGGAATCTGGCCCCACAGCCCTTGCGCTGATCAGTTTGAAGTGGCAAGTCAGGGTCGGTAAGTTTGCAGCAAATCCAAGATCGGGTTGCTTTTTTAAGATGTTCACAGATCCAAAACCTCATGATACCCTCCTGATTGAGTTTCAGGATGCAGGAATCTCAGTATCTCGTGCCGAAAAAAGAGTATCGGTCAAAACTGCCTCCCAAGAAGTGGATGGTTCAATGATGCCATGACCTAAGGCCACATCCCAGGTGGCCGCTAGCTGCCTCGCTGCCAAGGCGCACGTATGAGTTGCCATTGCTGGTCAGCACCACTGAGTGAAACAAACCTGGATCAACTAAAAAAGGCCAAGCCATCACAAAACATCCCCGCTCAAAGACCCAAAGAAGTCCAGCAAAGCAGTTTATAGCTTATATATATATATATTCCGTATGTATAATATATAATATCATTTCTATCTTCAAATAGAGTCTAAGTAGAGGAAATTAATGAGGACATACACCATGTTTGAACACACCCTTCTTCGTTTGACAAACAAATTTCATGTGTGTGCTCGAGCATGAAGCTGCCATGACAAGCCAGGGCCTGTGTCGACCTGAGCGATCTTTTCTCCTCCCTCTGGTTCCGGAAAGTCCTAGGACAAGGCACCAATATGAAGATCATCGTGCTACAAGCCTGCCCCACTGCAGCCCCACTGCCAAGGCACTCGGAACGGCCAGATGTCTCCAATCATCAACGCCTTGCCATCACTGCGCAGAAGCAAAGTATGATTGCCCCCGGCAGAGACTTGCACATACCTGGAGCATGCGGCGGCTTGCGCCGCTCATCCTGTACTGGTTGGTTGAGAATTCGTGTCCAGTATCCTGAAATTAGACTCATTAGACCGATCATCGTAGTAACTAAGCATCAATAATATGGAAATCGTCCATACTCTCCAACCACGTAGTATAATCCCATGCTTCAACGTCATCCAGGGATGTACTTTGGCCCAAGTGGTGAACATGCCGTGCTCGGATTACCTCCTGGAGGGATCCATATGGAATGATCTTCCCGTAAAGTGGTTTCTTTTCCCAGCCATCTGAAAAGGGTCCAGCCCCAGATGGGATTGGTTCCAGCCCCTGCTCCTGGATTCGCGTTCTGTCCGCTGTAACCCCGCTATCCCCAACTAAATGCCTTCAAACCCTCAATGGTACCCTATATCTACTCCATTCACGTCCTGATAACATCCTCGGCCTATCCAAGCCACTCTAAGCCATCTTCGAGCAGCGGAACATCGCATTGCCCGGCCTTGGCAGCAAGCTTTGGACACTCTCCAAAGTAGGCCTTTCACACAGTCTTGATGGATTCCCATCATTTTCTACCTCTGAAAGAACACTCACAATCAAAATCCTAATCCCTTCCCCCATGAAACCACCTCCTGAAACGCCTCCAAGAAAGGGACGCTCCCAGCTGGGCTTCCCTGCCCGATTGTCACCACAGGCCACGACCCGGCCATCGCTTCTCAGCAGAACACTGTGTGCCGTGCCTGTGGCGACCTTGCGGCTCTGGACCAACCCGGGCAACTTGACACAGCCGGGGGATCGTGAAGGGTGAGATCTGCCATGAGGTTGCCATTGAGGAACATAGCCCCAAACTTGCAAAAATGCCGTATACTGGTGAAAAGAATTGAGGATATCCTGGGGGATGCAAAGACCACTCATGGTGTTTCTGGATTTCTTGACTCTGCCTGTACCTCTTTAAACAGAATATGCGAATCAGGTTGGGTCCTGAGTTACCCACAATTTTTAGGTGCGCAGCTGCAAAGTCCTGCCTTTAAACCTCCCACTCCAATACAAGTAGATCGGGCCTGTACATAGTCCAGGTTGCTGGGTATTTCAGGAATGTTGCACTGGCCGTGCTTATTCGCCTTGGGAGCGTTGGAGGCGCTTCCCTGGTTCCCTGTAAATAAGGGGCTGGCATCTACAAGAAAATATCAGCTGCACTTTAGTCGTGGATATTTACCATAGACATTGATAGCCAATAAGAAATTGTCACTTCATTCCGAATGGATCATAGAGTCTGATGTAACAGTTCAAGGAAAACATGGATATGACATAGACGGGGTGCACACCAGCAAAGTGACGGAGACTATACTTTCCTTTTTTAAAGCTTGTCAACCATGGCTACTGAGCTCCGTACCCCCAACCCCAACGCACGGCCACTACTTTGTAGCAGCACGGTATGTCGTCGGCCCATGGCTTTGGGGCAGTTTCTTTACCGCACTGCGGGTGCTGGGGCTCAACTTCAACTGATTCAACTGAGCTGAACTTCAACTGCGTCACTTCTTTCCACCGTGTTTCAACTGCCTTTTCTTGTCAAAAAATCGTGGAAAAATGATCAAAATTCTCTGGACCAGCCCAGCCAGTCCCCATGAGCGTCCCTGATTTTGGTCTAGGGCATAGCGCGTGGCGCTGCCAACAAAAATGGGAATGTCCTCGCCCAGTGTTTCCCGTTCTTTGCCGTTGATGTGGCTGCGACAGGTCAGAGAAGTTGTGCGTGTGTCCTGCCTTCGAATGTCAACCTCTCCAAAGATGATCATTGGACTCAGTAGATGGCTCGTGACTAGTTTCTGTCCACGATTACATTTATAATATGTGCACAAGATTTTTTCTATTCAGTTCTTTACTATAGGCACATAGGTTTGTACATAGACATGACATAAGAAACATAGAATATCTACACAAACTTCGCACTGCGAGCGACCTGTTTCGACAGATGCTCAGCCCTGGCCTTGGTGATGGGACGACAAACTGCCAATGTAGTGTATAGGCTGATAGCTGTCTGGATGGATAGGTGTGGATGATGATCACGGCAAGAGATATGTATGTGTATGTGTGTGTGTATGTATATATATATATATACATATATGGTGCGTATATATTTAACAATAAAAATGTATTAATACATTTATAGATATCTTTATATATAATTCAAAAACTATATATATATATGCTCATATATGTCCATATATGTATATAATTATATGTATATATATAATTATATGTATATATATATAATTATATGTATATATATAATTATATGTATATATATATATAATTATGTGTATATATAATTATGTATATATATACATATATATACATATATATATACATATTGTGAACAAATGAATCCTTGTTCCGGATGTTATAGTTCAAGTGGTACCTGTTTCACTGGTAGTTCCCGGACCCGTTAATCATGGCGGACGGCGAACGCTTATTTTGCTCACGCGTGGGGTCTTGAGCCATAGTGGCGTCCCATGCATGAATTGTTTGTATGCTTTTACTACGTTCCCTTTGACACCCCCCATGCCCGTGGTATTCTTCGAACCACGGACACGAGAGAGGGAACTTTGAATTGGATTTGTTCTGCTACTCGAATTACGCCTATGTACATAAAACATGCCATTCGGCTCCCCCTTCCCCACATGCCCGACGGGAATAATGGTTCAGGGTTCGCCTACTCTCTGGCAGCCGATGCATCGGCGCTTCATCAAGCTGTACAACGCGAATTATTGCTAGCTAACATCTACTTTTCTACGTTTGCTAGGCATGCCACTCACCCGTCGGGAGAAATGGATCGCTTCGCTACTAAAGATTTACAATGCTAACTAACGAATTCACGTGCACAGTGCAGAATTCGTGCAGATTGGGAATATCAAAAGTCTTGAACCTAAGCGAATTAGTCTACTGCCTCGCTCAGAGTCCACTCAGTTGGTCTTTTCCTGATCATCTGTTCACAAAGACGATACACATCTCATAGTCCAGTGATCATTTTGACGGACAGAGGTAATGGGTTCACTGCTCACGGCGGACTTTCTTCCATTGAGGTGTTGTTGGAGATTTCTCCCATCCTGCCGCACGTTTCGGAGCAGCTTTCGGCGATGAGGGCTTCGCAGGCGGTGCCTTTGATGGTTCATGGGATCTCGGCATAGCCTTAGCCTTTGGTGCGCTGGCCGATGAGGATGATGCTGAACCAGTGCCTTCAGGTTTCTGTGAAGGTTGTGCTGATGATTTGGCTTTCGCGTCTGCGGTGGCAAACTTGGAAGCGGCAGTATGTCCGACTGCTTTGAATACTTCACTCACCACTTCGTCGCCAAGGGTTGGAGCCATCTTCGTTTTCATCTCGGTCTTTCCCCTCTGCGCCTCGGCCTCAGCCAGTTGAATAGCATAAGCCATCTTGCTGACAAAGTTTTGAGGTAAAGGAATGCCACATTGTTGGGCGGCAAAGAGTAATTCCACTCTCTGTTCCTTCTCCCTCAGACTCAGATATACCGAGAAAGCTGGGAGTTCGATGCAGTTGGGGAAGCCGTGGCTCCCGGAGCGAAAGAAGGTGTATGATTCGTGTTCTGGAAAGGTTCCTTTCAGCAGTCGTCGAAGGAAGTTGCTGATGGTCACTCGCATCTCCTGCTTCCCTTGGGCATCAGCCTGCATTCGGTTCATTGGCATGAGGAAACCTAATGACTCGGGAGTGTACCCGGCGCATACCAGAAATTCCATCATCTTTTCATAGATCTCCAAAGTCTTGATGACAGGCATCATCATGTTTCTTGGTCGTCCTGAGTACATCTTCTCTCCCTCTGACCATGAGTTCCTTTTCCCTTTCTCCTGAAAGAGCTCGTCCAACTCCAGCTCTGTCGGTCGCTTGAGGTTGCCATCCTGGTCTTCGCCTGTGTAGGGGCAGAAGTCGTCCAGGTCCAGCCGGACTCGTTTGGTTTCCGTCATCATCTCATAGTACTCCTCTGGAGTCAGAGTGACTCTCTGTTTATAGTAGAGCCTGAACATTGTGATGACCTTTGACATGACGGCATTGTCATACAAGTGAGCCGCGGCCTCGGAGACATCATTGTTGATCAGTCCGTCTTCTGGCATACCCTTGCTGCCGCTCTCAAGATTCTTAGTCCATGCTGGAAGTTTGGAAGAAGGTTCATCTTCAGGTTCGACGTCCATTTCATCGTCGTCTTCTTCAACGATTTCGTCGTCTTCCTGTTGAGTTTCCTCCTCCTGATCCATTTCCTCATCATCGCCTTCATTGTAGTCGACCTCGTCAGGATTGAAGCCATAGTCGTTGGATTCGGATACGTTTTCTTGCGCTTGATTGACCGTATCCTTGAACAACGATTCTTCTTGTCGACGAACTTCTTCATCGAGCTCTTTCTTCGTGGCCTCATCTTCATCGTCTTCAGGAGCTTGTAGCCGATATGGACGGATTCCACAACTTTCAAGTTCCGTCCAGCAGACTAGACACACTGCTAGCTTTGTCGGCGTCTCGTTGAGACAGTGAGGACAATGACGGCAACCTGACGTTTGCACCTTTTTGCGCTCGACTATGTAGTCAATCAGCTTGATGCGGGCCAGGTATTGCTCTTGTCCGCCAGGCTCGATGAGGTTGTTCTTGAACTGGTTGACGATGTTCATGGCATCCATGGCGGTTTCGTCATATGGTTGGTCTTCGGCGTCGATGCATTGACTTGCAACCCTCAGGATGGACTCCTTGGTGGCTACCGTTCTTGATTTGATAGTTCCAGACCGGACTACCTGGTCGTCGCCCGACGGGACGAACAACCGGAGCCATGTCTTGTTGTATTGGTCCTTGGGGTCCTGAATCCATCCTCCTTTGATTGCCGAGAACGGGATGATCTTTGGTGAAACGATCTGTCCCGAGTCAGTTAGTCGACCGCCATATTCCACCATCAAGGTCTCGGTCGGGATGAACAAGCAAATGTAGTCCCCCTTGCGCGTATCAACGCTCTTCGTGATGGTCCATGATCTGTGATCCCATGGCACATACGGGTTGAAGAACGTGAACATCCGATGACCTTCTCCAAGACCTCCTGGAATTAATCCCTGCCTCCAAATGCTTCGGAGGTTGGTCTTCTTGGTGATGTGGAAACAGACCGGTAATGACAGAATGGTGTTGGGTGCGATTGGATGTGAAAGCAACGAGGACAGCAATGAAACGTCGTCTCTTGAAGATCCTTCTTTGTGCCCCGTAGGAGCACGGACCGCCACTGGGTAGAGCAGTAGACCTTCATCAGGGATGTGCGTGTCCGCTTCGACTTTGTTGTCAATGCACGTCAGGCTGCTGCGATCAATGTCCTTGTTGATCCCAAATGCCAAGACTTGTTCACGCACACGACGTCCGTACCGGGTACAGTGGAACATGATCTTAAAGAGCAATGTCATGCGGTAGTTCGCCTCATTGACATTCCATGCGCTCTGATCATTTGCTCTTCCTTTTGGGGCGAGGAATACATGTGGCCAGCGTGCGTATTCGTGCCTCCAGATGGACTCACATTTGAGCACCTCCTCGATGGGCACCCAGCCGGCGTCATCACAGGACAGACTCTGCTGCTCTGATACCTTCCCCACGTTGTGCCGCAGGATCCTGTTTAGTGAGGTACTCACCTTGTCCTCGTAGGCGTCGAGTCGGTTGCCAGTTTCGAAGCGGTAGTTGGCTGCATATTCTACACCGCCAAAGTAAGAGCAGTTGAAGAAATGGGCCCCCGTCGTTGGGATGATTTTCAAGAAACCATCTTGCGGCGCTTCGACTCGTTTGTAGAAGATCTTCCTGATGTTGTTGTCGGAGTAGCTTGCCATGAAGTCTGGCACTGACCAAGTGTCGCCTCCTCCTCTGACAATAGCGTCCCGGATCACTTCGTTGAGGTCAACAACGTTCTGTGGTCCTAGCTTTGTAACATCACGTCCTTCGATGCAGAACCTACCATACTCATCGAGGTCACCGACTTCGGACATGGTCCTGATGTTGTCGTACCATTGGTGTTCACTAAACCTCGGTTTTGTAGGTTCGTCCGTTTGCCCCGACCCTTCAGTAGCACCTGAACCGTCCTTCTTGTGCTCAGGAGGCTCCATATCGACGTCATCAGATGTGGGACTATCAGCCTCGAGCGACGCTCGGACGGCCTTTAGCACCTTTCTGACTTCATCTCTCTTCTCATGTTCACATTCAAGATGACCATGTTTGGTGCTACCACAATACAAGCACACGTTGACATCCTCAGAGACGGTGAAGAGTTTTCCCAACGCATCCAAAAGTTGTTGTTTCCCGGAAATTTCTGAGTCCCTGACCACATCAGTGGGATCATTTGCTGGCTCATCAGCTTCCTCCTCCCCAGGGTGAGCCGACGACTCGTCACCTGGCTTGGCATCGGCATCAGCGCCCATGCTGGCGTCATCCCC